GATTCTATTGTTTTGTAATTATTTATTAAGTTTATGAGGTCAACTCTATTTATGAGATACGGGAACTTTCTCCGAAAACAAATAAATAAATATTAAAATAAAATAAAAATAATTAAGCGTCTATATTTTACTTCATTTCCATTGGATATGTTTCCTCCAGACAACAATCACATCATAAACTCAAGTCATCATGCATCATCTTCACCAAGATTTGGTTCTATCTGTAAAACAAAATAAATATAATAATAATAATTACAAATAATTCTATATTAAGGTATAATTATGTCATTAAACAATACAGTACCAACCAATTTGATTATACATTTTTACTTTCACTTATATATATATAGCAAAGGTAAATATTGCGATCGTGAAAATTTTTGACTCTGAGTTTTCAACGGAAATATATGTTTTGGCAAATAATTTAGTGCCAAAAAATGATCTGTGTGTTTGTATGTTAGCAGTCTAGCTCAAAAACGAAAAGTCGTACGAAACTGATATTATGTATTTAAGATAGGTATATGCCTTAGATGTGACAGCAACTTTTTCCTTAAAATCGGCTAACCGGAAGTGCCACTTTATATCAATGGTGAAACACATTTTTACAATTTTCTCAAAAACGGCTCTAACGATTTTGATTAAACTCGGTGTATCATTGTGTAATTAAGTGGTCTTTAATATCATTTAGGTCTTATCCTCGTTGATGTCACTTTACAGGGCTTAAATGCCCAATGTTCATATACGTCTTCCTCTAAAGTACCTTTAATATGGTTTATTTTAAATAATTAACTATCTCTTATTATTAAGAGTTACGAAAAAATGCTAAATATAACTTTTGAAAGAATTTGATAATTGAATAAAGGAGAAAAAATAAAAATGCTTATCCAGGTTGAAAATGAATCTCCGGAAATACTAGTCAGAAGGTATACGTATAATATATCGTTGGAAAGCGGAGAATTTTAGAAAAAACAATATCTAATATAGAAAGTTGTAGAAGGTAACGGAGAGTGACAAAAAATTATAAATAATAATTTTTGAAAACTAATAATATTTAACGTAAATCACATGTTTCCAAGGAAATTAAATGAAATTTTCTTGCTATATGTAAACTTTTAAATGTTTTTTTAAGATTGAAAAAAAGGTATTTAAAATCCACCGAATCAAGCCAATGCCATTGTTTAAAATACTATTTCATTGTACTTATGTGAAAGAAGAAGTGAAATATAAAATCATTTCATGGATGTATAAAGCATATGTTTATAACCTTAAATACATTTGCTGTAGTTTAATAATTCTAGATCTGATATTACATTTAAATAATTAGG